CAAAACCCCAAAACCCCAAAACCCCAAAACCCCAAAACCCCAAAACCCCATTATGCTATAATTTCTTAAGAATCGATTGAAGTATTAGAAATAAAATATATTTTGAATAAGAAAAAATAAAGACGCTATTCATATGATGATTTATATATTCAAAGGTGAAATTGTAGACTATTGATTTTGTCAATTTGGGCATTGTCACTCGAAGTCTAGTTGAAAATTGTTTAGATTTTAGCTTTCAGAGCTCTAGGGTCAACACCCAGGTCGTAAGCTAATTCTCTAATACAAAAATCTTCGTATCTAACACTGCTAGTAGAGTTTTGCTCAGTGCTCAGAGTCCCAACGATACCTCCAATAATTGAATTGTTGCTAACTCCGCCCGATGGCAGTGTCAAAGCAATCGCTTCAACTATTCTTTCAATCTATTAAGATTAGAAGTCCATTGGGATCATTCCTGAGGCAGTTTAGTTGCCGTTGGTTGGATTTTTCTTATTTACATCTTTCCAATCACTAGAGACATTTAATAGTTCCTTGAGAGTCAATCTCATTCGCTGGGAACTTGTCATGTTGTTATTTTTGTTGTTAGAGTCAATGTTCATCTGGCTTATTTAGCTTACTTTTTTCTTGTTACCCATTCCTCCTGCATTGGCTCCTCCTTCATGTTCAGTCAAAATCCATGGATGAGTCAGCATGTCAGACGTGCTCATGATCTTTGCAGGTTTTCCTTCTTTCTTTATTTCGTTCATTGAGAATCTTTATTGCATGCATTTACAAATAAAATCCTATGCTTAGGTAGAGAGCCTGTTAAGAATTTTTCGAATCAATTGAATCGATTAACTTGACTTGTTCTGGCCCTGAACAGCATGTAGAATGCAACAAGAATTAGAAAGATTTTGAATGCCTGATATTGACTCTTCAGAGATGACATCGAGTCCACCAGTTGCTGCTATTATCAATAGTATGCCCAAATCAAATAGATCTAATTTCTTCAGCTCTTGAAGTTGAACGCTGTCTTATTCTGTGTTATTATTTTACTGCTGGCTAATGTTACCTGATGTTGAGAACTTCTCTTTTATTAAATTGCCCTTGTTTTTATAGTTTTCTGAATTTTCACATAGCCTAGAATTAAATTAAAGCTAAAAATTTTTCTTACACTGTCACTAGTGAGTTATGCGAGTTTTAATTTAAAGTACTTTGGTTGTCTGATTTTATTCTTAATAAATGAGCAAAACCTGGTCCAATCTTTACTTTGCCTTTTCGATCGAAAAGTATTTGACTGCAGCATATATTACTATGTGCCATTCCTTAATCATGTAAGTAATCCAGAGATCTCAGTATTTACTTTGCCAAGTGCTTTAATATACTTTCAGGCAGTGCACCAATAGATTGAACAAGATTTTACAGACTTCCGTTTCCTGCGTAATCAGTTACAACTGAAACACATCCTTCTGGACTATTCCAGAATGAAGAGTGAACTTTGACATATTGGTCGGTCGTGCAGTGATGTTCCCATTTAGCAATCCATTCTTTGATCATTTATCTCATGTCTCGACTTGAAATCGGCACTTCCTTAATACAAAATATCCTTAGTGATGGAGCATGAAGCATTTTTTTCACAGTGCCAGATGTTGATTTAAATACTGCTAAAGTAATCATTTGATCTAGCTTGATGTTATCCTATTTTTGAAGTGACTTTATAGAGTAGGTATCAAAAGTTGAAAATGCTGAAGATTAACTTAGTAATTGCTTCTCAGAAGTGCCTTAGAGGAATTTGCTGAGGCCATCAATCTAAGTTAAAGGATCTAAGTTTGCAAGGCCACTTCCCTTTTTGTTTTTCATTGCATTCCCACCGTTATTATTGGTGTTATATTATTCAATCTTCGTTAGAGCTCTTTCCATTTTATCTTTTCTATCTGCTTCCTAAAATAAATATATCACCTCAGAATTTTATTTACAATATTTAAAGGTTGCAGTAAATTTTGCATTTGTTTAAATTCCTCAGCGTTGACTGCACTGTCTAGCTTGTCCTTGTAGAAGTTTTCAGTTTACTGTGCCTCAATCTCATTTTTAAATTGCATAAATCCCTTCTTTCTATAAATCATCATATGATTATGATAAAGAATAAGATAAATTACCCTTTGGCTTTAGATGTTTTGTTGTTAATTGCATTAAAAGGTGCAGGCAGTTATTTACTAATCCTTGGTTTCATCTTTCCCCATGTCTGACGAAACTCTTCCTCTTGTTATGAATTTAATTATGATGGGTTACTCTGAGCCGTTGGAATTTACCCCTGTGATATTTAATGCTAGTTCTTCAAATTATAAGCTAATGATTTATTACTATTGTCATTTGCTTAAGCGATGTTTCCAAGTGCCTGCAGTTGAGCTTACTGTACCTGAGCTTGCGAGTAGAGAGCTAATTTAGAGTGGGAGCCATCATGCTTAGATAGGAATGGAGAGGGTAAAGGGGGTTTCCTTTTAGTCTGGGCTTGTTGAATTGGTGAGTGAGACCCTCGTTATTGAGCCATGCTCTCACTTTATAGGTTTTAGGTATCGTTTCCAGTTTTATTACTAGCACTTAATTTGGGGGCCAGGATGCTTGAACCTGAGGATTGTGAAATTAATGAATGTGACTGCTTATTCTACTGGAGTGATGAAGTTTGTGATTCCATTATTATTCAAATAAAATATACGTAAAATATTTCAAAGCCAATACCAATTAATTTATTCAAGCTCACTGGGGTTTTGGGGTTTTGGGGTTTTGGGGTTTTGGGG